CTCCCCATCCACCCTGTCCCAGATTAATATTAATCTGTTAATATTAATATACTAATACTTTTGACTCTCTAGATTTGCTTATTCTGGACATTTCCCATGCATGGAGTCATAATACGTGGCCTTTTGCGACTGGCTTCTTTCACTCAGCACAATGTTTTCAAGGTAAATTCACGTTGTGGCCTGTGTCAGTACTTCATCCTTTTTATTGTCAAATATTTTTCCATCATATGGGCACACCACATTTTGTTCAGCCACTCGTCAGAGGATGAACTTTTGGGCTGCTCCACCTTTTGAGCTATTCAGAATCAATTTTTGAGCGAATGGCTATGTTAAGTCTAATATGGAACCTGTCTGTCTGCTTTAGGGAGATTAAACCCAATTGACAGTGGAAGTAAACGAAGATGTACTAGTTATTCTTCACCACCACCCCGCCCCCTACTTAGAGACAGGATCTTGCTCTGTTGCCCAGGCTGGAGGGCAATGGCATGATCATAGCTCACCCTAACCTCAAACTCCTGGCTCAAGTGATCCTCCTGCCTCGGCCTCCCAAGTAGCTGGGACTACAAGTACGTGCCACCACACCCAACTAATTTTAAAATTTTTTTGGAGACATGAAGTTGCTCAAAATTCTGTTCTCCTCCCACCTCAGTCTCCCAAAGTGCTGTGATTACAGGCATGAGCCACAGTGCCCAACCTACAAATGTATTTCTTTTTTTCTTTGCAGTTTTTGGCTGGGGTTGGGTTTGAACCTGCCACCTCCAGCATATGGGGCCGGCGCCCTACTCCTTTGAGCCACAGGCGCCGCCCATACAAATGTATTTCTTCATGTCCTTACCTGGTAAAATAAAACACTGGAATCCTTCTGTTGACATTAATGGTAAAAGGGTATGAAAAGTGTTGGAGCTGCAGACCCCTAGGACCTAGAATGCAAGGCCAGTGGCTCCGGAAAGCCAAGCCCTATCCCTCTGGCCCTGCCATGTGGTTCAGACCACAGGGAGAGCATGATGCAGCTTCTCAAGCTGGGGTATGGTACCCCTGGGGGTGGGGAGGGGCTCACACTTGTATCCTGGAAAGACTGCATTTCCCAGCCTCTTGTGCAGCAAGAGAGGGGTCATCTGACTAAGTCCTGACCGATAGGATTAAAGCAGATTTTCCTTCCCTTTTCTCCTCCCTCCTTCCTGCTGACTGGAATGTAGATAAAATGGCTGGAGCTTAAGCAGCCCCTGGGTGGAGACCACTGATTTATAGATGCTAGCAGGACTGGAAAAGAGAAGCCACACCACCTCTGGTCACCTATATGTGCTTGAGAGAGAAAAATAAATACGTGCTGTGTTGGATATAGTAAACACGTTACAGTGTAAAATGCTGTCGCGTTGCTTTGAGAAGTCCGTCACACATAGCCAAATTCAGTCCCTTTAGATGTGCTTCCTTGACCCCAGATGTGAAAACTGATGATGACATCTGCCCAGGGATGTATTTTTACTGCAAGATTTGGGAGAACAAACAATTTCCCCTTTGTCATTGTTCACAAAGCTAATTTAATCCATTTCACCCTTTCTTTTTTTATCCTAAAACAAGTGTGTGTGTTCCTGGTGAAGGATGAAGAATGCCCAAGGAATTTTTAAGAGATCTTTTATGTTGTTGGCTTGTGACCCTTCACCCCAAGGTCCTCTGTGGGCACCCAAAATTACTCCAAGAGAGTAATTTTGAGACTCTTAAGCAAGGTATGAAGAAGTACGATGATGTATAGGTAGCCAGTCCTTCTACTGCCACCAGGAAGATCCTGAACACTGTCTCAGGCGGCAGATGGCCTTGCATTTGAATCCTGAGTCTGCTACTTCTCAGCTATCTGATCTTGGGTGAGCCATTTCACCTCTCTGATCCTCAGTCTCTTCCTCTGTAAAAACAGGGATAATAACACATGCATTGGCGGATGGTGGAGGTCTGACTTGATTCTGTCTATGAGAGGCCCTGACCCAGAGCCAGGCCCAGAGAGGGTGCTCTGTGCTCCCATCCCAGGAGCTAACCTCACCCTCTCAGATACAGCCGACTCCCTCGACTGGAATCACACTCAGAGGCAGTTCCACAAACAAAGATGGTTTAATAGATTTCAGCATGTTTCCACTTGACAACGTTATATGAAAATAGAACTCTTTATTAAAATAGAAAGCCTCAACAATCACTGCTACTCAGGAAAGGCTGTTTATTAAAAAGAAATCATCAAAATCAATGGCTTTGGGCAAGACCTTTGGACTCTGAGAGGCTGTTTCTCCACCTGGAGAATGGGCAGGTGAGAGAGCCCCAGCTCCCTGTGAGTAGGGCTCACTAGTGTGCAGGGAGGTGGCTCTGGTGGCCCTGACGGTGAGCCACGTACTCCTCCTCCTGTCCCTGGAGAAAGTCAGGGAGATGCCAGTGTGTTATCTCATTTTGTAACAGGAGAAGAGAAAGCTGTAATGCTCTGAGCCTTGGCAACACCATGGAGCACCCCCCCCCAACTCCAGCAAATTTATTTTTCACAGTCACTTTCTATTTTTGGCAACGAGTGATATATATGTTGTCTGTTACTGGCAGCAATCAAAAAAAGTTTCCCTTTTCTACCAATTTAGGTTTAAAAAGCAAGTCTTTTCAAAGGAGAATGGGGGGAAGAACAATATAAAGTACAGGAAATAACAGCAATAATGACAATGTTAAGTGAACCCTTCATTGGACACCTTAAGAATATTTCTAACGTATGTCCTGTAATTCTGAGACTCTTAAGCAAGGTGGGAAGAAGTACTATGATGTATAGGTAGCTTCCTAACCAACCTGCAGCAAGTAGCTAAACCTCTCTTTTCTTGACAGCTTATTTTTTTTTTTAAGGAGGAAAAAAAGAAAAAAAATAATAAAGATTAAAAGAAGAGGCTCGGCGCCTATAGCTCAACCGGCTAAGGCGCCAGCCACGTACACCTAAGGTGGCGGGTTCGAATCCCCAGCCCGGACCCGCCAAACAACAATGACGGCTGCAACCAAAAAATAGCCGGGCGTTGTGGCGGGCGCCTGTGGTCCCAGCTACTTGGGAGGCGGAGGCAGGAGACTCGCTTGAGCCCAGGAGTTGGAGGTTGCTGTGAGCTGTAATGCCATGGCACTCTACCCAGGGGGACAGCTTGAGGCTCTGTCTCAAAAAAAAAAAAAAAAAAAAGATTAAAAGAAGAGCAGGTTTAAGTCATTGCCTCCTGAGCTGTACTTCAGTATCTCAGGTACCAGCTGGAGCTGCCTGGTGGGAGAACTGTCTTTCCCTCGAGTGATTCACTAATGATTATGGCTCCAAGGAGGTTCCACCTTTAAAGGGAATCGGCCCTTCTTTGAAGGCAGGTGAGAATCTAGTCTCGGTGACAACCTGGCCTGATTTGGAAGGGGGAGGACATGAGGGCTTCCCCCCAGCACACCAGGGTTGCAACCTGCACAAGACCTTCCTAGCTATTTCAGCTGGCTTTCTTCCTTCCCTTCTGAGGAGGCAGCTGAGGGTTGCCATGGAAACCGGCTCTGTCCTCCCACAGGAGGCTGCCAGCTCCGATTTCCTGCAGAGTTAAGAAGCAGGCGGCAGCGGGGGGTCACCCAGGCGTGAAGATGGGTTTCCCTGGGGATATCCCGCCTCCTGCCAATCACAGTGTCTGTCTGGGAATCCTGGGGGTGCCTGAAGACTGAGTGCCAGGGAAGCCCCCAACCCCCAGTGCTGCTCTGAGAAGAGACAGCCTCTGGGACATTCAGAGGTCGTGGGTCCTCTCCTCTCCCTCCAGCTGAAGCTACAGGGTCTTTGTTATGTGTGCCTGTGTCTCCTGAGAGGCGCCCGCTGGCAAGGTCAGCCTTGCCAAGTCAAAGAGAATGTCCCTCCCACCCTGTGCTTGAGCCCAAGGAACAAAGAGCTGCCCATCCAGCACATACTCCTGAGACAGTATGTTTCCCGAGTTCTACTAGTGTACAAGCTGTGTGACCTCGGGCAAGTGACTGCACCTCTCTGAGATTGTTTTCTCATCTGTAAAGTGGGCACAATCATCCTCTTTTCATATAGGCGCTGGGAGGAGCCTGGAAATGTTATGTCTCCTGTGCCTGGGACAGGCATTTCAAGGGTACTCTATAACATGACCTAATTATTAATAAAAATGTATTTACCATCATAGTAAAGGTTTGCAGCAATTCCTCTTGATTTTTGCTTTTTTTTATAAAGAGACAGGGTCTTGCTCTGTTGCCCAGGCTGGAGTACAGTGTCGCTCTCACAGCTCACTGCAGTCCCCAACCCCTGGGTTCAAGCCATCATCCTGCCTCAGCCCTCTAAGTCACTGGGATTAGCGGTGTGAGCCAGTGTGCCCAACCAATTTTTCTCTTTAAGCTGCTTTTTTTTTTCTAAAACTGAGGCAAAGGCACATTTTCATCACTGATCTAATGGGTGGTGCATTGCATACAGACTGTGATGGACAACTGGTCTTCAGACCAAGGAGCTGGTCCTTGCCACCTCCTACAAAATCACTTCTAAGAGTTAGAACAGAATCTTGAACGCAAATGCCTTCAGAGCTAGGAGTCACTGTGAAGGTACAATCAGACCAAGTCAAAATCCTACAAACTAGAGAGCCCATGCCCTGTGGCTGCCATTCAGCGCTGGTCAACAGTTACCCTGGGGGACATGAGCCCAGTGTGGCCAGATCTACCAAGTTTTCAGGAGAGGCTGGACGTTTTGAATTAACTCTCCCAAAGATGATAATAATTAAGGTAATTTTTTTTTTTTCGAGACAAAGTCTCACTTTATCGCCCTAGGTAGAGTGCTGTGGCATCACAGCTCACAGCAACCTCCAAATCCTGGGCTTAGGCGATTCTCTTGCCTTAGCCTCCCAAGTAGCTGGGACTACAGGTGCCCGCCACAACACCCGGCTATTTTTTTTGTTGTTGCAGTTTGGCCGGGGCCGGGCTCAAATCTGCCATCCTTGATATATGGGGCCGGTGCCCTACTGACTGAGCCACAGGTGCCACCTTTAAGGTAATTTTTTTAAAGCAAAGGCCAAAAAAACACGTGCCCACTGCTGGAGCATCTGGCCCCTCCTCTTTTTGCTTTGCCAGTCTCAGGGGCTGCCCCATCAGGCCTGTGTCCTCCTTAGTTCCCCTCCTGAGTCTCTTAACACAGGGATAGCCCACCCCATCTGGTACCTGTAACTTTAGCACAGAGAACTCAGAGCCCAGCGTTCGGAGGTGCCCACACTGTACACTCCAGGTGCCCACACTGTACACTCCAGGTGCCCACCTCAGGAAAACCTCTGGCATTTCCTCAGATATCAATGTGAACGGAGTGATGAGGGAAGTGTCCCATGAGAGGGGCACCTGGGAAGCAGATTCCAAGGGGCTCCTTTGACTTTAGCTAATTTAATAGTAACTGGGGGACAGAATTGTCTCAGTGGACACACTGCTAGCTTCTGAGTGGCCCTTCTGTGGCCAGTATCTGCTCTGACTGGACAAGGCCTGGAGCACACTAGTTAAAAACTTGGGATGTGACAGCTCTGGGAATTGGGGGCACAGCACTGAGGCCTCCTGGTTCTGCCCTATTAGCTTTTATGCGTATCACAGTGAGCCAGAGCAGAAAAGCCTGATTTGGGGAAAACTTTACAGCAGAGAATCCAGAGAGCTTTTGATGTCTCTTTGTTCAGCTTCCCTCAGCTCCCCCTTCTTCCCCTCCCCTGGACACAGCGTTCTGGGAAAAAAATGGGAAAGTGGTAATGCTGGCCCTACACCCAAGCCAGGGGCGGACACGGAGAGCTGGAAGGCCTGGGGCAGGCTGGCAGAGGGGGCAGCGGAGGCCCGTCTGCTCCCGCATCTCACGGCCGGACGCGGTACCGGATGGGAACGTCGTGTTCTGGCTGCAGCAGCCCGAAGCCGTACCTGCTGAGGTCGAACTTGGGGACCTCCACACCCGCGTCCATCAGCTCCAGGTCCAGCTGCATCAGCACGAGGACCACAAATCTGCAGAGAGATGGCACTGAAGTTGTGACGAAGGGGAGGCAGGAGAGCAGTGGTTCCCTTCTGAGTCTGACCCCAACTTCGCTTTGGGAAAGGTGAGAAAGGATGGGGGGAGAGTAGCTCAGGCACCTGCTGCTCACCCAAAAGCCATGAGCTTCCCCACATCTCTCAGCACCCCGTAAGGTCAGACTGGATGAAGGCTGGCTAATTGGCTGTGAGCGCATGTCATGAGTCACTCCCCCATCAAAACCTTAAGAGCCTCCAGCCTGCCCTCCTGCCTGGCAGCTGTGCAGGCTTCACGTTGAAATGGTGGAGCTGAAAGATGAAAAGAGCTTGGCCCTGGAGTCTCTGCGTGGAGGGGAGAAGCCCCCAGACCTGCAGCCAACCCTGTGTGTGTAGGAGCAAACCCCCTGTTGGTGTAAGCTGCTGACACTTGGCAGTCCTTGTCACCGCAGCAGAGCTGAGCTTATGGTGGTTAATACAGGGCTCTTCTGGTTCCTCCTGTTTACACCCATCCCCTCCTTTTCTCCAAACTCCTGGAACCCTCACTGTCTGTCCTGGTGAGGCTGCTGCTAACCCACAGGTGCCTGTGTGACATGTTACTGCCGCCCTGAGAAGTGTCCTAACAGATCAACTTTGTGATTGAGCGCTCTCTACTGCCACCTTCTGGAAAGCTGTAAACATACAACACTGCCATGTGTATGATGTAATCGGTGCCCCCATAAACGTGGGGCCAGCCTCACAGATGTTAACCGGTTCCTGCCCAGCTTTCTTAACTGTACTTGCTACTTCTCATGTTCGTAAGGGTCAGGAGTGTATCTTTTAAGACTCTGTGTCCCTACGCCTACCTAGGTTACACAGGGCTGAGCACACAAAGGGATTCGGTTTTTTTGGTTTTTTTTTTTTTTTTGCAGGTTTTGGCTGGGGCTGGGTTTGAACCTGCCATCTCCAGTATATGGGCCGGCGCCCTACTCCTTTGAGCCACAGGCGCCACCCTCACAAAGGGATTCTTTAACCTTACTGAGTGAGTGAAGATGAAGAAAGGTGGGGCTCGAGGGATGTTAACACTCTGAGCCGGAGACCTGGGCTATGCCGCTTAGGTGTGCCTGGCCTTCACCAACTTTCTTTCCTACACTGAATCTCAGGTCCCCCATCTGGTCAAAGAGAGGAAAGGCAGGACGGGTCCTTTCCAGCTCTGATGCTACAGGACACTAGAGTATGAGTTTCTTCTCTGCTCACACCCACATTTGAATCCTGGCATCTCTGCATCCTGGGAGCATGGCTGTGCAAATGACTTGACCTGTCTAGACTCATTTTTTTTATTTTTAATTTATCTTTATCATTACTATTATTTAGACACCACACCTGGGTAGACTCAGTTTGAGACTGATAACTACCTGGCAGGGTTGCTATGACAATTAAGTGAGATAAAAATAACAACAAATTAGCTAATTTACTGAAACACCACGTGCCAGACACCACGCTAAGCATCCAGTGTCCATGATCTCTTATCTGTTCAAAATCTTGATGAGGCAGGAACTACAGTCAGATCTGCTCTGCCGCTTGTTTTAAACAGGGGAATTTGCTCCAGCGCCATTGACATATTAAGACGTGATTTAAGCATCACAAATGTCCACATTTGCTCATATGCAGTTTCACCTGCAAGGAACACAAGGTGAATGCAAAATCTGCATCCAGCTGAACCTGCCTGTGCAGAAATCCACAGAACGTCTGCGCGCACACACCCACACACCTACACACCTACCTGGGGCCATATTTACTGTAGTTCTTCTTAACCAATTAACTCATCTGAGACTCCACTGCCATTTTTATTGGGTTATCTTTTTTGTGTGTGTCACTGATGAGGTTTTTGCGTGTTGAGTCCTTGTCCCTTTTTCCCCATAAACCTTGTGATTTTTTTTTGCATGATTTCACATATGAAGTGACTTTTAGGAACACATATGAACTGTATTATAATCAACTGTTATGATTGCTCTTCATTGTGAAAACGAAGGCCAAAAGGTTAGTGCAACGTGCCCATTCACTTAGCACTATAATAAGGATATGAATATATCTGTGCCCCAATAATGATATGAGCAATTATGATAATAATTAACATTTATCAAATGCCGACAATGACCCAGGCAATGGGTTAAGAAATTAGAAGGATCCAATTCATTTCTCCTGACTCCCTTGCAATGAACTTATAATGAGAACCCCCATTTTACAGTTGAGGAAAGAGAGGCCCCAAAGGTCACCCAACTGGGTAGATGTCATAACTCCTGATTCGATCTGTGATCTTAGGGACCAACGTCCAGAGAAGAGACTCTGAGGCTCTTGGGCTCCACAGGTGTTAAAACAACCAGGTGGGAACAGTGAAGTTTAGCCAATTCCTGATGTGAGGTTCTGAACCTGACACAGCGGCTGCAGAGGGACAGCTGAGATCAACTGAATGGAGTCCTCAAGGGAAGAAACTGCTGCCAGATCCAAATATTTCAAAAGAAATCAGAAATCTGACTTTTCACGTGTGATCCGATTCTTAAAGGTTAGTACACATTAAAAACACATGCAAATAAATAGATTTTGGGTTAGGAGACAGCCCATGCACCATCGGTTTAGAGCCTCTGTCCTGAACCATTCTGGCCGAGCCCTCAGGAAGGAAGGGCAGTGCCAAGTGGAAGAACCAGGAACGCCCCCGCCCCTACTCACTGCTTGATGCTGGTGGTGGCATAAGTCCTCCCCAGGCACTGATTGTGCCCGGCTCCCCAAGGCATGTTGTAATTCTTCAGCCGTTTTCCATCTTTGTAAAAATCTTTCTTCTCTGATCCATCAGGGTTCAGGAATCGGTTATATTTAAACACCTGGAGTAGGAATAAGGTTCGTTTCTGACCCTACCCTCCAAACAAGGCTACACCAAGAAAAACACGTGAGGCTGTTCATTATATTCATGCTGAGAAGAGGGCATGAAAAACTGGAAACAATGTAAAGGTCAATTGATAGGGGATTAGTTAAAAATTATTGCAAAAGGTTTGGGTATCCTGACAGGGCAAGAATCAATAACGAGTTGTTGAGTGAAAGAAACAAGTTTCAGGATAGTATGTATTGTATGATCCTGTACACACACCAAACTATATTTGTGTCTGTGTGTGTGTTGTGTGTCTATCTGTAAAGGCATAAAAGCAGCTTAAAGGACACATTCCAAGCCATGGTTAGGTAACTCTGAAACTGAAGGGGAGGGGAAATAATTTTCTTTTACTTTTAAATATATATTTCTCTTATTTTTCTATTTTATAAATGTCTATTACTCTGTCATATAAAACAAAGAAATCAAAATAATTTTTTTAAAAAAGAATGCCTATTTCCTTTGGTTCCACTGCACCCTGGTAAGGCAAGAATTGCACCTGAGCACAGGGCTTGGCATGGAAGAGGTGCTGAGTGGAGTGGAAGACGGGTAGAAGGGGCGGCACCCGTGGCTCAAAGGAGTAGGGCGCCGGCCCCATATACGGGAGGTGGTGGGTTCACACCTGGCCCTGGCCAAAAACTGCAAAAAAAAAAAGGAAAGATGGGTAAAAGGTGAGGTGAAGGGACCAGCGGATAGACTGATAGATGGAAGGGCAGCTAGACGGATGGATGGATAAATGGATAGATGGAGATTGGTGGGTAGATAGATGGATGGATAGATGATAGGTGAGTGGATGGATGGACAGGTGGATGAACAGACAGGTGAATGGAAGGATAGGTAAGTGGACTGATGAATGGATGGATGAATGGGTGAATGGGGCTTGGAATACAGTAAACACTCAATCTGTTAGCAATTGGGAGCAAGTGCGAAAGTTTGCCCCATCTCAAAGTCCAGGGAGAAGGAAGAATGTTGGGAAATTGGTATTTGTAACATTCTGAAAAAAGGAACATTGTTCAGCTATTGCTTACAAAGCACTCAGTGAATACAAGCCCTGTGAAGGTCTTTTTTCTTTTTTTTACATGATCTCATTTAATCTTCCTGAAAGTCCCATGAGGCAGGTGCTATAATGAGGTCCATTTCACAGGTGAGGATGCAGACACAGGTGAAGTCACATGGATAAGGCCACAGAACAAACTAAGAGCAAAATCAGGCTGCCCCTGAGATCTGGCAGAGCCCACGGTTCCCAGTATGACCAGCACCCTTGCCATTTACCTCTGGGTCTGTGTAGATTTCTGGGTCTCTCTGGGGACTCAGGAAAGGGAAGAGGAGGAGGCGGTCACCACGTCGCAGGTTGAATTCTCGCCCATCTGCCATGACCATGGTCAGGTCCACCACGACCTCACGGGTGATGAAGGGTGCAGCTGTGAGCCTGAGACTCTCACTCAGCACACTGTCTATATGGGGTGGGTGCAGGGAAGGGTCAGCAGGCTGTCCCCTCGCCCACTCAAATGCCACCCCAGCTCTCATTTTAGAGGGGAAGACTAAGAGGCTCAGAGAGGATAAGTGCCTTGCCCACAGTCACATAGCAAAGTGAAAAAGGTCAGAGGATGAGATGTGACCTCTGTTATCCCTGAACATGAGGGGATCTGGGGATGACTCTGAGAGAAGCTGTGAAGGAAGGTAGAAGGGAGGCAAATAGCAGAAGGCTAGGGAGACTGGGCTTATCAGAATCCCCTGCCCAGCACATATTCCCCTGCTTTTCCTCTGGGGTCCACCCTTCCTACTTTCAGGGGTTGGACTGTTGATTCTACTCTCAACTCCAGGGATTGGACTGTGATTGGCCAATCGAGCATCCCTCTGAGTCCTGTGATTGGTTCAGGATGGGCATGTGATCCCCAAAGGGCCAATGAAGTACAGTCCTGGAACTTTTGGTGGGTCTGTTGTAAAAGGGGCACACTCCCACCCCCAAGAGCAAGTCAGCTTTGAGCTGCTGGCAGCCATCTTGCCAAGCCAAGACTGGCGCCTTCCCAGTGGGAAATAGACCTGAGAGATGGAGAGGGACTGAGTAGTCCTGATGACGCTGTTAAAACACCTGGATTCACCTGGGCCTGAAACCAGTATCTCTGGACCTTTTAGTTACCTGCCCCAAATAAAATCCCCTTTCCACTTCAGGCAGTTTAAGTTAGGTTTTTCTGTCACTTGCTACTGAAAATTTTCTAATGAGACCCTAAGTCTTAGGCAGCTGAGACTGGGGCATGGAGGTACCAGGTTTACAAAGATAGGAGGCTCAGGGAAACCCTGGGTCAGATGATACTAAAGGACCCTGGAGGACAGGACCCCATGTTGGAGAGGGTTTGGGGGAGCCCAGGATGACCCAGTCTTAGAGGCTATCTTGGAGGATCTGACCACCTCACCGAGCACAGGAGTGCTGTCCAGAACCTTCTGTGGGAGGGTGGCCATCTGGGAGACAGGCTGCTCTGCCTGCCAGAGGATATCCTGGAGCTCTTCACGGACAGCAGCCAGGGCCTCAGGATTCTTGAGAAGGAAGAGCAGGAGCCAGAAGGCAGCAGGGCCCATGTTCCCCTGCAAGGAGAAGGAGCCCCTGTTATACCACCAAGAGGACAGAGCTGACTGGCCAGGGCTCTTGACACAGCCCTGGCCAAGGCATAGAAATCAGTAGGCCCAGGTTCCTCCCCTGCCAAACATATGGCCAGGGCCTGCCTTCAGCCTCAGGACATGACCAAAACCTCTTTGCAGCTTTGGCCTGGCCCAATAGTTACTTCAAGGACACTCCTGGCATCTCTGATCATGAGCAAAGCTTCACTGACCTGAGATCACACAGGTAGTCTCTTATTGCTCACCAACAAAAAAAGTATTAGTAATAGGAACAGAGTATGTCTATTAAGGCTGTTGTTAACACCTGAGAAAACCTGCGTCACTGGCCTGATTGTTCACCATTCCCTGAAGCCACGCTCTTGGCCACGTGACTCTGCAGTTCCTCCACTAAAGAGGCAGGGTGTATTTCCTCTGTCCCTTGAATTTGGGCTCAGCCATGGACTTGCTTTGGCTGCTAGAATGAGGTGAAATTGACAAACCAACAGTTCTCAGTGTAGGCCCTAAGGGACCATGTGTGCTTCCACATGCCCAGTGAGCCCATGGGTCCCAAAAACAGGAGGAGAGATTCATGGAACAGAGCTGAACCCCCAAACCCTGCTGAGTTCCATTTAGACAGCCAGACCCACAGACCTGAGTTAAACAAATGCTTATTGTGGTAGGTCACTGAATTTTTGTGGATGTCTGTTATACAACAATAGCCAGCTGATAACCAGAAGATATGCTTCCCAGTGTGATCGTTCTCATTTTAGTTTGAGATGCAGTATTTCCTTACATGCTTCCTAGGTTAAAATTCTATCAGTCCCTGGAAGAATAAATGTGTGTGTTGTATATGCATAAAGTACAGAACAAACGTATAAAGTACACAGTATATCTGTACAATAAAATACACAGGAATAATCACTCATGACTGTGAAAGCCATAAATTTCTTTTTTTTTTTTTAGACCATCTCATTACATTGCCCTTGGTAGAGTGCCATGGCGTCACAGCTCACAGCAACTTCAAACTCTTGGACTTAAGCGATTCTCTTGCCTCAGCCTCCCAAGTAGGGACTACAGGTGCTGGCCACAACACTGGCTATTTTTGTTGTTACTGTTGCAGTTGTCATTGTTGTTTGGCAGGCCAAAGCCAGGTTCAAAGCCACCAGCCCCGATGTATGTGGCCGGTGCCCTAGCCACTGAGCTACAGGCACTGAGCCCCATTAATTTCTTGAATAAATTGTTTGTTTTTGAGACAGCATCTCACTCTGTTGCCCATGCTACAGTACACTGCTCATTGCAGCCTTGAACTCCTAAGCTCAAGGGATCTTCCTGCCTTAGTCTTCTGACAGGCACCTACCACCATGACTGACTAATTTTTTAATTACTTTGTAGAGACAAGGTCTGTCTATGTTGCCTAGGCTGGTCTCAAACTCCTGGCTTCAAGTGATCCTCTCACCTTGGCCTTCCAGAACAGTGGCATTATAGATGTGAGCCACGTTGGGTAGCCTGAACAAAAATTACTTAAGGCAGCATCCGTAGCTCAGTGGGTAGGGTGCCAGCCATATACACCAAGGCTGGTAGGTTCGAACCCAGCCCAGGCCAGCTAAAACAACAATGACAACTGCAACACCAACAAAAAAAAACAGCTGGGTGTTGTGGTAGGCTCCTGTAGTCTTAGCTACTTGGGAGACTGAGGCAAAAGAATCGCTTAAGCCCAAGAGTTTGAGGTTGCTGTGAGCTGTGAAGCCACGGCACTCTACCCAGGGTGAAAGTTTGAGACTCTGCCTTAAAAAAAAAAAAATTATTTAAAACTTCCCAGGAGGGGGCTGGGTGGGGTGGCTCACGCCTGTAATCCCAGCACTCTCAGAGGCTGGGGTGGGTGGATTGCTTAAGCTCAGGAGTTCGAGACCAGCCTGAGCAAGAGCAAGACCTCATCTCTAGAAAAACAGCCAGGCATTGTGGCAGGTCCCAGTCACTCAGAAAGCTGAGGCAAGAGGATCATTTGAGCCCAGGAGTTTGAGGTTGCTATGGGCTATGAGGCCATGGTACCCTACCCAGGGTGAAAGTGAGACTCTGTCTCAAAAACAAAACAATCTTCTCATTAGATAAACAATTAGGAAAATAGATGGAATTTCTAGTTCCAAGGCTTTGGCTTTGGCCTTGGCTGAAAACTTTCATACACATTGTGCCTCAAGCTTTTTGGCACATGGCTGAAATGTATACAGGGCTGCTTTAAGGATCCAGACATGAATGGAATAGCAATTAACCTTGATTTGGGAGAAGATTTTTGTCTACCATAAACATCCTATTCAATCATAATAATGGAATATTAAATCGCCATTAAATATCTTATTTACCCAATCATGGGGAAACATGATTCATTACAGACATAATTGCATGTCAGCAAAAGGACATATGCACAAGGATATTTATTGCAGCGCTGATGTAAGAGCAAAAAACTGGAAACAACCTCGGCATCTATCAATAGGAGACCAATGGGATGAATGACGATCCACCCACAGGATGATGACACAGGAGCCATGAAGAAGCCGGTTCTGTGTGCAGTGATGCGGGACCACGGCCAAGAGCACGGAAGCACACAGACAGCACGGTGCAGGGCGGGGCGCGCGCTGCCGTCGTGTCTGTTTAAAGAACGTACACGGAGAAGCACGGACCATCTCTAAGGAACAAGGCTGCTGCAGGAACAGAAGCCAGGAGGCCCGGAGGACAGGAGTGGAGAGACTGACTTTCCTCGCATGCATCCTTCTCAACTGCTCAGGTTTCTTAAATGGATACCCTAGTTTGAAGTGAAACAGAGGGGTCTGAATGATTTCTATAGTGATCTCAGTGACGTGAGAAATGCTCACGGTAAATTTGAAAGCAAGCAGAAAGATAAATTAAAAAAAACTGCATGATCTTAACCAGGGAAGAAAAACATACAGGCAAAGGCGATGAAGAAACGCATCACAGCACCAGTGAGGGTGAGACGGGATTCTCCCCGCCTCTTTCTTGGGGATCAAACCCCCTCATTCAGTGTTCCCCTCAAGCAGGCCCCGCTATCAGGCCTTTCACTGAAAAGGAAAACGAAGTGCTCCCTGGCCACTACTACTGCCCATCTGTGTCCCTTTGGGCTACAGTGAGGCTCCGAGACAAGCCTGGGAGGTTGATGGGAAAGGTCATCCCGGGCTGAGACCAGGCAGAGTTGGTTCAAATCCCACCTCCCCACTGTCTGCAACTCTGGACAAGTCTCTTTCCTCTCTGTCTCAGAACCTTCTGCAGGAAAACGTGGATAACAGAGCCCCCTCCTGGGCTTTCCACAGGGTCCACTGAGACCAGGAAAGATGCTCAGAAGTGGTTGCCACTTTTCCTGGCCCCTCTTGAGAACACACAAGGGCCTCAAGACCTCCAGTACCACAGGGCCAGCTGAGACAGCAAGGCCACCTGCCGTCCATCACTTAAGTAGCCTGGGGAATATGGGCCATAAATAATTCAGCATGGGGCTAGCTCAGCTCCAAGGCCATTTTACCTTGTCCCATGGCTGCATGGGGGCCACCACTCATTAGTTCCCCAACAAGAGTCAAACATTCAGGCACTTGGTTATCGTTGCTGGTGGAATAAAGCGGTGACAAGTCAGGGAGGGCTCCGAGACGACCTTCCCCTGACTACACAGATGTATGTGCCTGTGTGCCCACACTGTGCCCACACAGCCACGAGCAATCCCGAATTCACCAGCCTGGAGGCTGAGCTTTCTCCCGCAAGGCCCTGCCTCAGTTTACTCAGAAGGACGCTTCCCATCTGGCCTCACTCTCTGCCACTGCAGCCAGTCCGTGACCCAGCAGAGCATGCCCTGTTGCACCTGTGCTGTGAATGGAACCCTGTACTAGCCTGTGTTGGGTGCTCCCTCCACTGTCCTCCCCCCACCCCCCACTGCTCCTCAGCCTCCTCTGCTGGCTGCTCCTTACCTTTCCCGCCCTCCTAAGTGGGGAGCTGCAGACCCTGGTCCCCTCCTCCCCGCACCCTCACACCCAGGAGCTCATCCAGTCCAGGGTCTCTATGCTGATGACTCCAGACTCTTCTCCAGGTGCCCCCGTCTCCGTCCCCAGCTCAGCACACCCAAGGCTGGAGGCCTGCTCTTCTCCCTCAAGCTTGCTCTTCCAGCCATCTTCCTGGGGGCTCACTGCACCTCCTCCATCCTTCCTGTTGCTCAGGCCCAAACCAGAGTCACCCTTGACACCTTCTCCCAATGACCAACAGTAAATCCTGAAGGCCCTATCTTGAAGTATCCAGAATCCAACCTCCCCCTGCTGCTGCCACCCTGGTCAGGGATTGTCCCCTCCTGCCTGGAAGTCCCAGTGGCCCCCTCCCTGCCCCACTTCCTCCCACTATAGTCTATTCTCACCACTGTAGCCGGAATGATCCTTCTAAAGCATGTTTTTCCTCTGCTCAGAGCCCTCAATAGGCACCTGTCTCATTCTCAAAGTAAAAGCCGGAGCCCTCCCCCTGGCCTGAGGGCCCTGAGTGGCCTGGTCATCCTCCTCCCTGCCACATCACATCACCCCACCTCAGGGCCTTTGCACTTGCTATCCGTGCCTGGGAGCCCTTGTTCTGTACATCTCCAGGGCTCACTCCCTCTCCTCCTCCAGTCTCTGCTCCAGTGTCACCTTCTCAGTGAGGCCTCCCTTGAACGTCCCTCCCCTTCCCCCATCAGCTTTCCTACCTGCCCTGTTCACAGAACTCCTCACCTCTGACTCGTTTTAGACGCTTACTTGTTGGTGAGTTGTCTGTCTTCTCCCACCAGAATACCAGCTTCCTATGGGTGAGGGTTTTGGTCTGTTCTGCTCACTGCTCTGTCCACAGCTTCTCGAATGGGGCCTGGCATACAGTGGGCCCATAAATACATGCTGAGTACGTGTATTGCACCCTTGTTACCTGTCAGGCAACAGAATACAGAATCCTACACATATAGCTTCCTTTCATCTTCACAACCACGCCTTAAAGAAGGTGCCATCTCTCCATTTCACAGATGAGTAAACTGAGGTCCTAAAAGGTCAAGCACCTGACTCACCAGGTCAGGATTCAAATCCAGGAAGGTCTGTCCGAGAAGCTGTGCCTGGAACCACTTGGCTGCCCAGCCTCTCAGCTTTGCTCCCTAGATGCCTGCAGGGTTTCCTCTCCTGCCTGAGTTCTGGACGTTGCCAACAATTCATCCCAGAGGACATCCTGTCCCCAGCTCCTCCCGCCCAGTTCTCCTGGCCCCACCAAAGGCTGTTCCCTGGACTTTCTGTCACTGAAGCCCTCCCCCCGCCCCACCAGCATCCAGTTCTGCTGACAGAGGGCCTTCCTGCAAGGGGTGCCAGGGACAGTTTGGAGCGCCAAGTTGTTTCTGCCCATAAATATGTTATTAGGCACTAATGGGGACCACCTGCTGATTAAACCCAGCCCCTACCCCTTGCCAGCCTCTGCCTGCAAGGACAGTTAATGGCTCTGAAACTAAAAATAAGTTGCAAGTCAATGGAAGAGGAACCAGAGACGTCAGCCTGGGCAATTGTCACTGCCCAGGTGGGGCCAAGAGAAGGGGGGACAGGTCGGGGTCATGACTAATGGCAAGAACCAGGCCTGGAGACCTGCAGCATCCAAGGCCTCTCCCCTCTCATGCCAACATCTGATCCATTTCCAAATCCATCCATTCTGTCCTCTATCACCTCTACAGCCACCACCTGATTCTGCCACGCGTCTCCTTTGCGGCCCCTGCTTCTGCCCTTCCCCCCACAATACTGTCTTTCTCCTCTGCTCAGAACTCTCCAAGGGCTCCCACCTCCCCTGGAGAAAAACCCCAAGTCCTTACTCACTAGGACCTTCCAGGCCCTCCATGGTCTCATCCTCTATCTCACACCCTCTCTCTCTCTGCTCCAGCCACACATGACTCCTGGCACACACATGACACACACTTGGCACAATCCACCCCCAGGCCCTTTGCACTTGCTATCCCATTCTTTGGAATATTCTATCCCCACATTTCCCCTAAGTCCCTGAATCTAGCTTTCTTGTCATCCAGGACTCAACTTATAACATGTCCCCAGAGAGGCCTCCCTGACCACCCTGGGCACAGTGGACCCCAGGGTCTTCCTCCTCACAGCCCTGTTTTACATCCTGGATATCAGCATCTAAAGTCACTTTATATATCTGCCCCTGCCTCTACTCCCAACTAAAATGTAAGCACAAAGCAGGATCTTTGAGGTCTATAATGAGCACTCAATGGAACTTTTTTTTTTTTTCAGAAATGGGGTCTTGCTATCTTGCTCAGGCTGAGATCCTCCTGCCTCAGCCTCTAGAGTAACCAGGGCTACAGGGCCACAGCACTGCACCCAGCTCCTCAAAGGAACTTTTAAATGATTCTTCAAAATAATTCACCTTACACTTCAAAAAATGTCAAGGTCATGAACAACAGTGAAAGACACAGAAACCGCCAGGTTAAAGAAAGCCAAAGAGTAAATGCATGTGATCCTGGACTAGGTGCTGGACCAAGGTAAGCTATGAAGGACAATCACTGGGACAGGTGGCAAAACTGGAGTACGGACTATTTACTGGATAGCGATTGTGTATCTGGGCTGATCATCCAGATTTGGTTACTATACTGTGGATATGCTAGAGATTCTCCTGCTCCTAGGGGGAGACGCACACTCAAGTAATTAGGAGTAAAGGATCACAGCAATCTGTAACAACTTACTTGCCTATGATTTCAACAAAGTAATGCCAGTAGGAGAGAGAGAGAGGGGATATTGTAAACTGTTAAAAATCGGGGAATCAAGGGGAAGTGGATATAGGCATTCACTAAACCATTTATGAAATTTTTCTGTAAGTCTGATGTTTTTTTCCAAATTAGGAAAAAGAGAATCTGAATGGCCGAGCCTGTTCACGATGCCATCTGGCAGTAAAGGAAGTCAGGGGTGAGGAAGAGAGCTAGATGCCCACACACACTCGAAACTGCACGCTGACAAGCACGTGCACACACATAAACAGTCATGTGCACGCCTGCACACGTGCACACACGCACAACACCGCACACACTCCCCCACACACCCACCGTAGGTACACCCACACGTGTGCCTGCATGTGCTTGACAGCACACTCATACACACGCTTTCATATGCACAACCACGCCTGCATACACCCACTGGCACACCCATGCCCACCTGTGTGGCCCAGAGCTGCAGCACCAGGGCTCGCGCCTTCATCTCCTCCGACACGCCCATTTCCTCCAGGTGCAGCAGGTAGCTCTCCAGCCATTTGCTCCGGTGGGCCCGCGTGGCCAGCCTGCCTGGGGACAGCAGCTTCCACAGGCGACTTTTGATGCTGCATGCACGGTCCTTATCCCCTGTAGGAACAGAGTACATGGGGCAGGGTGGGGTGGGGTGGGGTGGTTACAGATCCCTCCCTGCGTGACTACCCAGTCCAGACCTCCCATGAGGCCAAGGGTCTTTGGGAGAGTTCCTATTGGAAAGGCCCCTAGCAGGAAGCTAGCCTATTACCAGTCTCATTCCATAGAAAGCAAATGGCTTTGTCTCTTGTAGGCAGTAGCCTTGTCTGTTTTATTCACCTCTAGTCCCCAGCACTTGGCCCATAGCAGCTGGTCGATAAGTATGTGCTACCTGAATGAGCAGCAGGGGAAGGGGCATTCAACACGGAGCAGCTCTGCCCCTTCCTGGGCCTGGTACCAGCCCTTGTGCATAAGGGGCTGGACTGAGCAGGCTCAGGACAGTGTCAGCCACAGCAGGACATCAGGAACAACCTCCCTGACCACCCAGAGGGGCAGGCTGCTCTGGGGTCTGTAGATGCAATAAAAAGCAGGCAAAGTAAATGAGAGGGAAGGGCCAGGGCGGTGCCCACTCGGCCCACTGGTCACAGAGAAACCCACCCAGCCCAGCAGACCAGAGGTCCTGTGCTGCCAAAGGAGGCTGAAAATCCAGATGTTTGTGTGGAATCTTCTGATGTTTTTTAAGGTTAATATCTAAGTAAGTTTTTCATCACTGTGCAGGCCTGAAAAGCATCTCTGAAGGTCAGTTTCGGTGCACAGGTCACCAGCTTGCAATCATCATGAAATAAACAATGGTGGGTTCATGCTCTGGGAAAGCACACAGCTCTGAAGATAGTGAGGAAAGAGGATCTTCCCACACGGGGTGGAGCCAGGGGTGGAGCTGGCATCGCTGAACCATATGGTTTATGCTTGTATATTGTTTTCAAGCTCGAAGGCAATGGTGTATTTACATATATTTGCAAATATGTGTCTTTTTACCTCTTCATTTTTCTTTTTGTTTAATGCATCTAATAGAAAATTGACTATTACATATGCGGTTTGCATGCTATTTCTACAGGATAGCACTGTCTCAGAAGGATAACACCAAGCTGACAGCAATGGTTACCTTGGGGATAAATCTAGTGGGGATGTAATTTAAAAAAAAGAATTTTCTTTTTTTGTAATATTTGATTTTTTTTAAAAAAGAAAAGAATTAAGGATGCCCAGTTAAGGAGCCACACCCTAAGCAGAGTGCCTGACCTTAAACAAGTCACCTCACCCCTCAGCACCTCAGTTTTCTTACCTGTACTCTGGGGTAATTAGAGGACCCACCACATAGAGTTATGTATGGACTGAATTCATTAACTGCTAAAGCTCAGGGAGGGAAGCCTGGCACAGGCCTGATGAATGTTAGCTATGTTATCAAATAACAAAACATAATGAGTGTTAGCAAATTATTAGTCCAAGGTGAATGTGTTCACATACTGCTTCCATAATGAAGAAATAATAATAAATAGTGGTTACAGCGCCAGCCACATACACGGAAGGGTGGCGGGCTTGAACCCAGCCCGGGCCAGCTAAACAACTGCAACAAAAAATAGCTAGGTGTTGTGGTGGGCACCTGTAATCTCAGCTACTTGGGAGGATGAGGCAACAGAATCACTTAAGCCCAAGAGTTTGAGGTTGCTGTGAGCTGTGATGCTACGGTACTCTACCAAGGGTGACACTGTGAGACTCCATCTCAAAACAAAACAAAACAAAACAAAAAAACCCCACAAAGTTTGAGGCCAGAGAGATCCAGGTTGAAATCCCAGCTTTGCTCTTCTTAGCAGGATGATCTTGAGTAAATCACTTTGAATCTCTGAGCCTTGATGTACCCTATCTGTGAAATGGGGACAACCTAGCTCATCAGATCATTGAGAAGACTGAAAAAATCAAACACAGAACATGCTTGGTACTGGTAGGAATTTGGCAACTAGTACATGCTACATTCTTGCTGTTATTATATGGTATGATTTCTCAGCATGAATCAGAGATACCAGGCCCACGTGACTTGCAGCCTGGAGATGCAAAAAGCAGGTTTAAATCCCAGACTCCTCATGCTGTGTGGCTTTGCCTGAGGCCTACCATCTCTGGGCTTCCATCTCCCCATCCATAAAATGAGGGCCCTAGCTTAAGTACCTCTCAAAGTTTTCCTTGAAAACTCCTATAGGCCCTTAAGACCTTTAAAATGCCTTAAGAGTTTTGGATCAGACTGTGATTCTTTGATATACGAATGCCTTGTCCCCTCAAACAGTATTCAAATCAAACAGCCCCCCCAAAACAATCCAGTAAAAATGAATGTTCCAGAAAGAGGCACTATGCTAAGCTTGGGGCTATATTTAACTCTCTCCTGCCCCAACTTCTTTCTATATGAGAAGCACCAGACTGAATAGTCTATGGGTCCCCAAAGTGTCAATTTTCTTTTTTTTTGAGACAGAGTCTCACTCTGTCATGCTGGGTAGAGTTCCGTGGCGTCAGCTCACAGCAACCTCAAACGCTTGGGCTTAAGAGATCTTCTTGTCTCACCCAGAGTAGCTAGAACTACAGGTGCCCGCCACAGTGCCTAAATACTTTTTCTATTTTTGGTAGAGATGGGGTCTCGCTCAGAGTGGTCTCAAACTTCTGAGCTCAAGCAATCTGCCTGTCTCAACCCCTCAGAATGCTAAGATTGCAAGCGTGAGCCCCTGTGCCTGGCCAATTTTCTTTT